GTTAAAAAAGCAGTCGAGTAAAACAATTAAGAACGCAAGTTGTGTGTGATGCTTATCGGTCCCCTGAGGCTGGTCTTGTCGACTCTGGTCACTCTATCCCTGTTTACACAAACTGCAATTTATTTCGACACCACTTTGCTTGGATAAAGCTAAATGTCGACGGTGATTTTGGTTGTGATAAGAAAGTCAAGCGAGCAACTAACAGCTTTAGATAGTCTAGTGTGAACGGCTAAGAACATTAGTCGACATAACTCAACACCATTGACCAGTGATATTTTACTTAAATTCCGACGATAATGATCGTGCGTCAGGCGGGAAAAGCAATGGAAAAGAAAAAGTTCTTTAGAATGATATAGTACAATGACGACATCAAAAGTCGTCATTAAACTTTTTAAAATTGTAGTTATCAATAGCTGTCGTTTATTATATTTTAAAAATTGACAATCGATGCTTTTAGATCAAATAACAATCAAGCACTTAAAGATCCTACGCTTGGAAACACGTCAGAAAGAGGGGAAAGGCCTCAAGGAGTCAGTTTGTGGCCTTATCAGTGGACTCAAGAACGTCTCAAGTGGCAAATAACTGTCCTGAGCAGTAAGGAACGGTTATCGTCTTGGGTTACCAAATCTAATTGGCCAGAGGAACACTTTGTACGCAAGCAAAATGCTCACTTGTGTGGCCTTTGAATGTTTATTCGCCCATCATGTGGTGATTAGTGCTGATAAGTCGACACTGGTGAATCTGGTTAAAGCTAAGCGGCTGCAGCTGCGGCTCAAACGAAAGCTCTATTGTTTGACAGGCAGTTCAGACAGTGCGACAGTGTAACTGAGCTCTTTGACGTAACGTCCAGTCGCCCAGTCGCTTATACACACCGGACGCATTCTGCCACCAATTTTGTCGGCCAAATCAGTTCTCTCTTCTTTCCTCCAGTACATACTCACCACATACTCATCGCACCTTTTCTGTTTTGTGAACTAGTTTCGACTATCAACTGTCAGCAGGATGATTCTCAATCTGGTTATCAAGCTGTTGTTCTACTTTAGCGCCATTGCTGGTTTAATCATGTACATGCCAGGACTGCTGGACATTCACCCAACAGTCTTCAAAAGTTCACTGCCTAAATCACTGAGCACCTTCAAGTCTGTTCAAACTTACAATGTCTCTAGTTTTGAGCAGTTTGGCTCTCTGCCAGGCCCTGAATCGATTGCAGTGGATCACAATGGTCGAGTGGTTACCGGTTCATCTGACGGATGGCTGTACGAAATTGACTCAGACAACACCTTCATGCCACTGCTCAAAATCATCGACAATGGGCGGCCATTGGGCTTAACTTTCTCTAAAGGAACATTGTTCGTGGTGGAGCCTTCATTTGGTGTTTACAAAGTGGAAAACGTGTTTGACTCTAAGAAACGAAAAGTCACTTTGGTGTTTGACATTCAACAGGTAGGATTGGGTTAAAATATAAGTTTGCTAAATATGATTTTAACCGGCTTTTTCTTCCTTCCACACAGACTGCCGCTCTAGGCAAAGCAAGTGTATTCTTCGATGACGTTGCTGTGGAGGAGAAATCAAGTGGTGGGCACATTTTGTACGTCTCCGATGTCAGCACCAAGTTCACAATCGATGAGTTCATTCTCTTGCTCTTCGCCTCTGACAAAGGCCGAATTCTTCAATACGACACTGACAGCAAGCAAGTGACTGTCATTGCATCGGATATATTCTTCCCAAACGGAATGGAAATGACGGCGAACAATGACGCAGTGCTTTTCACTGAATTTGCCTCTCGAAACGTCTGGCGGTACAACCTGAAGGGCGCCAAAGCGGGCACTCTGCAGAAGATTGTCGACCAGCTGCCAGGAGAGCCGGACAACATTCGTCGCAGTGCCAGTGGTAAGACATTCTGGGTCGGTCTCGTCAAGCCGCGCACTCTGCTCAAGCCCACTGATATGGATTACTACTTAAAAAAGCCGCTCTTAAGGAAGCTGGTGGCCAAATTTTGCTACCTGTCGGGCAATGTCCTGGAGAAGGTGGGAAAGCTGCTGAAGAGTGACCAGATCGAGGAGCTAGCTATTTCGCTTAGAACTTTGCAAATATTTTTGCCCACCCTGTTTCGGCCTGACGGTGGAATGATGGTCGAAATTGATGCCAACGGCAAGATCCTCAGCAGCATACACATCGATAGTGAAGATTTCGGCCTAATCTCCGAAGTGAGAGAGCTTCCCTCTCCGCAGCCTGACCAGCGTGTCTTTTACCTTGGCTCGTTTGCAATGTCATACGTTCGTAAACTGGTGATTACAAAATAAGCGTTTAATTTATTTCAATAAAAACAATAAAGTCAGGGTAAAACAAGCAAGGGGTGACCAGATGAGTGTAAAGTAAATAAAGTTGTATGATTTCATGCTTAAAATTCAATGCAATGTGATAATAAAAAACATCGAGCTTTATGAAAATAAATAGACTTTACTAAAAGTAGAAATGAAATTCAACAAAACAAAGCGTATATTTTATATCCAGTAGATTAACAAAAAATATTGCTTCAGCCTGAAGAGCGGTTTAAGCCTCCGGATCATGTGGGTCATCTTCCATTTTGTTGAGAAATGTTATGCACATGTTGAGGGCGTTGAAGCGCTGCTGAACTATATTATCATCACTTGAGTTGCTTGGATCGATGAAGACAGTGTGCCAGTGAGAGTACGCAAAAGGAGTTATCACGGATTCTTGCTGCAAAATTTCCATAATTGCATTGATCTTGCCAAGTTTGATGTTTCGATTGAAGCACATACTGATAATATTTGTAAGAAAGTATAAATAGTACAGAAAACTGTCTCGAACCATGTGTTTGCTCATAAGCTTCGCCCGATGTCGCAGCTCGGTTTCATTCACATAATTACTTCTTTTATCAATTGCGTTTTCAATCATAATCATCATAAATTGCATATTCATTGTATACTCGGAAAGGAAACTTTCAGCTTGATTATTAAGCATCTTGTTGAGAGTTGCTTCTATTTCTTCATTTGGCTCATTATCCTTTAACGCTTCTTTAAGCAAATTAAAAACGTTCGCCATCCTGGTGAAAGAGAGAATAAAAATGAATTGATGCAAAAGAGGCAAACACTTTATCATACCTTTGAAGCTCGTAAATTGCACGCCGTTTTTGGCCTTAACGTTCACAGATTAGTTGTCGCAGGTCGTCCATACGTTAAACAGAAGAACTAAGCATGCAAATCTTCTGTAGATGTCGATGCTACTTGTGGAAAATGGGAGTAAGATGAGTGGCTGCGATAAGGAGATGCTGATAGGCAGACGGGCGATCAAAACAGCCATAAGATCGAAGCGCAAACAAAACCAAAACACGCCGAGGCTGCTCTTACTGTCTAAGAGCGGTCCGCAATGCGCACACTCAGCAAAAGAACTTGGATTTTTAAAATCACCCCTTATTTTTTGTTTATTGTTGGTGATGCTAAAATATTATTTTTCGTAAAGGCTGAAGTTTTCAAGGGTGCGTAATCCTTTGTGGTATTTTGGGCCAGCTTTAGATCAAGGTGTTGTGAAGAGAGTCCTTTCTCCTTAGGAGATAAAGAGATTGTTAATCCATCCATTCCACTGTTTTTCATCTCTTGCCGAATCTCTTGCTTACGCTTTTTCTCTAAAAGCGATTGAAAGTAGATAACATCAGTTGTGATATTTCAATCTGCTTAACTTGCTCCCGTTTACCAGTACACCTGTCGGAAAACTGAAAAGAGGTTAACATGAGTGATATTCTTTCTTCTTGACATCTACTGAATCTATTGAAGCTCTATCACTTGGATGGCAATCGTTTTAAAACACTTTCTCTGTCAACTGTTGTGTAGAGCTAACTTGTTTCGTAATTTTCAACTGTAGTAACTGCAAATCAAATTAGGTAAATATCGACTACAGTATAGCAACGCTGCTTAGATTTTGGCTCCCGATTCTTCGAAGTACCTCCGAGAGTACGGCATGCTTGAATTGCATCAGAAGAGACTCAATTGCGCAAGTCAGCCTGGGCAATGTGACCGGGTCGATCTGGTCAGAGTATATTTGGTTTGATCTCACTTGATAACACTTATTTATTTACATCATCAAAGCTTAAGTCTGATTTCTCTCAAACTTCTGAGATTCTGTACAAATACGTTCATTTGTCACATCAGCCTAATCAGCCTCACTAAACTTGACTCCTTGTTTACACTAGGTTCAGCTTTTCACCGTGTCACTCACTGTGATTGCATTGCCGTTTCAGAGTTCCAGAGCACAAGTGTTGTTACTCGGTGCCCAACTCCGCTTATCGTCGTGTCCTTCGTACAGTGGCAAGCTCACATCATAACCACAAAAGCTATCATCCACATCTTCCATTGTGACGCCCTTCTCTTGTCTACTGAGATAGATGCACTTTCAAGTGCTACAAGTTTTGCAGCAGAGTGTTTGCTGGATGTGTGTGTACCTTTTGATAATTGCTATCTCTGTGATCACCGAGTGCTGTTCGCATTGCCTCTCTACAGGTACATGATGAAGCCAATCTTTAAAGTAACAACAGCAAACTACAGATTTTTCGCCTGATTGCTTACTTTACCCGTGACACCAAATCATCACTTGCTACTGAATGCTGCCTATCACTAGGTGAATGTTTGATGCAACACCTCTCTTCTGATATATTATTACTGCTGTTATTATTACTGGACAACATTTGACCAGCGAAAAGATGCATTACCAAAACAGGCTTCTAAAGTGCTCATAAACTTCCCTTGCCCACTTTTTGCCAAAATGTATTTATGAATGAGCCATCTCAATCTAAAAATAATTTCAAGGTGAGTGCTTTGTTTTACGAAAACGTTGGCGTCTGCTGACAAGTGACTTTGCTTTGATTCTTTGCAGTGCACTTTGATAACACAAACATATACATTATTCTCATTACGGTGTGATCTGAAGAAACAGGAGAATCCATTTTTCAAAAAGAATAAGATTACGAATATTCAAGCAGCGATATGAGTGACCTGAAAACCCTGTGTTTGGACCAAGAAAGCACCGACCTTTCGGCGGAACAGTTTTATCTTCAACACGAGAAAGCGCTAAAAGGCACTGAAGAGCGGTTTTTGAATGGCGAAAATACAGACGACGAGGGCTGGCGTAGTGAGGCACTTGCTGTGATTGCTGATATTCAAAAGTTTGTCAATAAGATTACTATCTCAACTGTTTTGCCCTGTGATGTGAATGGAGTGTACATGAATCTGGAGACTCAAGAGGGCACCAATCTCACTGTAGAGCTAAGCGCTGCTGGATTTCGAGTTTGCGGCCACCAATTTGATACACTCGAAGTAGTCAGTGAAGAAGATAAAGCTCAAGCTGACCAACAAAGTTCAACTTGCACAGACCTGATATCACTTGCTGTATACTACGAAACTCCGTATTCTCTTCTCGACTCGATTTCGCCCTCTTATCGTGATTCATTTAGTAACGAACTTGCTCAACGTCTGAAAGAGCTGTGCAAGTAGTGCCTACCTCCCAGCTGAATGCTACCCACAGTCTGTCACTCCTCAGTGCCACTATTCTGGTCAATTATTCCGTTCTCCACATTTACAGAGTTCTAAATCAGAAGATTAGTAACATTTTTGCTTACCCAATTCAAATTTCATCATTGTAAAACCTTTTAGATAATATAATTTCGTTCAGTTGACATCTGAGGAGTCATTCCAAGCGCTGCTAAGTTTGCTAAGTCTGAACAAAACTCAAATTGCAAGCAAAAAGTACCATACATTACACATACACTAAATGATAATAGGTTAAGACTGTTATGAAATGCTCACTTACAACACAAGTCATCTTTAGCACTACGGCTGCATTGAAAATGCAGTCTTAAATTTAGTGTTTTAATTTTTTTATGACATACACATTGTAAATAGCTAACACTCACAAATCCTAAAAGCCAAATAAAGTTATGCTTCATTGTTTTTACATTTGCCCGCTTAGTAGTCACAATTAAATGCTTTTATAAATTAATCTGCATCGGTGTCGTTATCAAACTTAGAGAGATTTGGCATATTCGTAAAAAGTCAAGAAATCTGTAGCTTAAAGAACATGTTTTATTTTTGTATAATAATGGACTTTAAAAATTGAGTAGAATTGAAGAAGCTTAAAGTAAAGTACCGTATTGTCATTTCGAAATTGCTTATTTAAGGTTGTTTATAGCTTTTTGGATCGGATCTTTAGCTGTAAGGCGGCAAAGGCGACGAAATTTTTCGGTGCGACGCTTCTTTTCAGATCGCTTGTAATCAAACTGCGACTTCAAGTACTGAATTACATTGTAGACAAAGTATTTTTTCCCGAGAGTGTTCAAACTTCGTTGTCTGGATAGTTTTTTCAAAAACTTGTTGAAAGGAAACTGATCTAAAAGACCGGGATCTGGCAAAGATTGGCGCAAATTTTCAATGACGATGAAAGCATTTCGAACTACGAATTCCTCAGAGTCATCGTCGAGCCATTGTCTGAACTTTGCGTCCAAATTATTGAACTTGTCTAGAAGTCTGCTGTAGCTATCATAGTTCTCCAGATTTTCGGGAGTTTCCCAAGAGATGACACCATTTACCCATCCTACGAGATACTGAGTTGAATTTTCTTGAGAACGGCGTTTTCCCTTCTTGATGTTCCTTGAAAACAGAATTGTTTTGGGGCGAATTTTCATTTTCGTTGGAGCCTTTGCAGGTTTGTCGATGTCTTTGCATTGTTCATCAGTAGAAATGACAGGTATTTCCGATGACATTGTTGGCGAAAGTTTTGAACTTTTGAAGTACCAGAAAAGTATCTCGAATGAATCAGTTTAGGAAGAATTGAAGAGAATGGATTAGATGAGACAAGGTTCTACTTCAAGGTATGACGCGAAATGAGCATGCTTTGCAGATAAAACTTGTGCTTTCGAAAAACAAGAGGCAAAAGGACTACGAGCGACATCTGGCAGAGAAATCTTTAGACTGCATTTTGTGTGAGCGTTACTGCAGTAAAGGTGGCAATAATTCGAATTGGAAATTGGTTAAGCCTCTCTTGTTAAAGTGACGAATTTTGATCGAAATGGAAGGCAAGAGTAAGAAGCAAGATTGAAGTTTACCAGTAAAAGGTATTTTAAAAATTGAGGACTTTGGAGGTCTTTGGATATTGAACGCAAGTCCAAATATGCAACATAACAAAAAGGTAAAGGCACTGGACAAAAGGTGCCAAGCAGAAGTCGTCTAGAGACGAGCCTGATTTAAATTATGATCAACGGTCGTAGTGCAAAGGTTTTATCAAGGTTTCAAACAGCTGCTGATACAAAGACACAATGAAGCCAGTTGTGGCTTATTTCTGGGAGCAAACTAGCCGTGTAGTTAGGAGTATAACACACATATTCTTGAACTTCAGTTTTTCGTCAACAAGTAAGTACCCATAAAAAGTCGTTTATCTGCATCTTGGTTTTTAGAAAGTAAACTACTAAAGATATTTTGAGATATGCTCTCAGGCTGACTGGCATTCGACATTAATGTTGAGTCATTTCATGTCACTCAACCAAGCACTTTTTGCATCAATTGTTTTTATTTATTTTTCTTTATCATTAATTAATTTTTACATAACATGTAGCAAATGTAAAAAGGAAATAGAAAAATGTATTGGAATTTATTTTTGCGGCAATCATTTTGCTGTTTTCTATCAGACATATTTTATTTCATTTAAATAAGAAATTAATCAATATAATAATATTGGTTTTTATCAAAAGTAGCATTCAAGCCAGATAAATTCTGGTTTTAAGATTGCATAGAGTCTAACTGTTTGATTACGGTCTACAGAGTAAGTGTAGCAGATGTTTAAGTTATTAAATTAATTAGTACCATGCCAATAATAGAAAACAATATTTTAACATTTTATGCAATTTTGCCTGTCACTTATGTACTTAATTGATCTATTGATGATAATTTAATATTTTT